TCTCGATCGGTTTCCGTATAATAATCAACTACCCCTTTTACATTGGTCGAGATGAAAACAATATACACGCAGCAGCAGCCTATTAGGTCGATCACTAAGAACGAATTGATTGTCGCTCTGAAAATATTCAAAAATTGAAATTACTATTAATTAATTTCTATTATTTATGATTATCTTTCATTTATTTAACAATTTATTTATTTCTTTGCTGTAAAAATTTTCACTTCTTAAAATAACTTATTAAAATAATTTCTAGTTATCTAATTTTCTAATAAATAATTTATGGATTTTTGTAATGCCAAATTCATCAATAATTTATATAATTAAATATACAAATATACAGAATGATTCAAAATATAAAAAAAATGAAAATTCAACCAATTAAAAAAAGACAATAAAATCTTACTTTGCTAATCTAGCGTATTTCTGTACAGGTTCAGGACCGACAAGAAATGCCGCTTCTGCGACATCAGCGAACCCTAGGCTTGGTGTTTGAGTCCGCCTGCATAGGTTATGTGCGCATTTAACCAAAATATGCACGCAATAAGTGCAAACTGCTCCAATGAAGAACGTAGCGAATAAGCCAAATAGAAGACCAGCATTCCGGAAGGCCATTGGCATAGCTAAGATCCCAGTTCCCAAGCTTCCTTTCAGTAGATGTATCAGTGTGTCTAAATCCGACGTGGGATGTGCTAACTTTCTATGCTCAAACGGATTGTAAAGGGCCGCTTCCTCATCGTTTGGTCGTTCCACAAGTGGTAACGTCGAACCGTTCGTGACGGTAATAGGTATGTCATTTTTCTCGCACTTGTATCTGCAAAACCAACATTGTTAGTATCCAGTCTCGTTAAAGGTTTTCATTTTTATATTAGAAGGGATATTAATTATCATAGTTTTGAGATCGCGAATATAGATGTGTCGTGAGGATTCATGACGACGTAAGTATGCAGAACGTATTTTTCTTGACATATCGATTATGCGAATGTTTCTGTATACGGTTACGAAAGAAAAAAAAAAGAAAAAAAAGAGGTATATTTATGCGGGAAGAGTGCAGAGTAATATGTGAGAGATTTTTATTTTCGTAGTCGCGCAATATGCACACCACGTATTTATAAGGATCAGTGGGGGAACAGAGAGGATTGAAGTGTTCGTAATCGGTTTATAGTGTAACTAGACGCGATAAAGCTTGCGCAAATGGCGTAGTCAAATGTGATTGGAATGATTTATTTAGAATCTGATTTTTTATATTAATATTCATTTTTTTTTATTAAATTTAATGATTTATATTTTAATTTGTAATTATTATATTTTAGAAATTAAATTGAATTTTGACATTTTAAAATTTTATAATGAAAATATTGAATTTTATATGTTAGATTGAATAACAAATTTGTTTCGTGTCAAAAATAAATCAGACTTTAACTCAAAGTGATGTTTATAACTCATCAATGCTATGTATATTATTTGCATGAAAAGAACTCATTCGTCAATATTCATATTGAAAAATAATTCTCTATGCAATATTTTTATTATGTTCGAGGCTATCAACAATTACATTTATCTTTATGTATCTTTATTTCTCAAGTTTGTTACTTCACTATTCATATAATTAAAACATTAATCTAAGAATACTAAATAATCTAATTTATTTAGAATAAAAAAAAGTATTAAATACGTTTAATTAAAAAAAAAGAAAGAAAATAGGAACAAAATCGAGAATCTGACTACACCATTGAACGCGTGCTTATAAATAAAACATAGCATTAACGAGGTTGATGATAGCACGATACAGATATGATTTTGTGGGCGAAATCTACGCGTTTTAATTAGGCAAAAGCTGTAGACTCGTAACACGCATTAATTTAATAATAGAGAACATGAAGTTAGCAATGAGGGTACTGCTTACTGCAAGATTTCGTAGATGAAACAGGTTTTGCACTGTATGATCTCAAATAAATTTGATCAGTTGTCATTTTTCTTCACGCTGTGCGTTTAAAATTATGCTGCAAGCGTGAATTTGTTGCATATTGAAGGCGCCAGCGAATAATGTCAAAAGCAAAAACACATTTCTAAAATATTTATTTTTTATTCTATGCGTATAATGTTTATTTATTTTTTAATTGTTTATTAGTTTGATGATAATATTTAATAGAATTGCACTGGCAAAAATTTTTGTTAAAATTGATATTGATGTTACTATTATATTTTATATTTTTAAAAAAATATTTATTTTTTTCAAATCATAATCAATTATATAACAATCTTAAAAGAATTGAATTCTATTAATTAATTTTCATAAGTAAACGACGTTACTCCCTGGCTCCTTTACGAGATTATACAATTGATGCATTTCATCAATTCTAATCGATTAAACTTTCTAAATAAAATAAATTTCATCGGCAAACTCAATTAGTCGATGATGCATTTGATGTTGTAAAATACTCCGTAATTAAATAACGTAATTTAATTCAATTAATTTTTACGCGCATTTTTATAAGCAAACGGTCTCTTCAATATTCTCCCTGTCGCCCAACTTTCCGTATGTTCATATCAAGGGAACATATATCGAGGAAATCGATAGAAATAACGAAAAAATAAAAATAATCGATCAAAAATCTCTCTAAAATTTCGACGCATATTTTTTTATTCTCTTTTTTTTCTTTTTTTTTTTTGTTATTAATTCTTTTTTTTAATCCTAATTCGATTCTCATTTCGTATCGTACGAATGACACGAGATTTGTTCTATTTATTTTAACGGAAAAAGAAAAAGTGCATGACGCAACGTGTCTTGTGAGATAAAATTTGGCAAGATTTATTTTATAGGATAAAATTAGAATTTTATATGATAATAATCTTTTGCAAAATTATATTCTAGAATTTTAAGAAGCATCGATGATTTCATCACTCGATTTATTATTGAATAATGGCGGATTGATGAAAATAGAATTGATTGATTGATTGTTTCGATTCTTGGAATAATAAATTTGGAAAAAAATAAAATTGGAAAAATTATTGTTTAACAAAATATTAAGTATAGTTTTTACTAATATTAGACTAGCTATAATTTAGTCTTAAAATATAAAAATGACTAATATGCAATGAAATTATTAATATTAGAAATATTTTAATATTAATAAATCCTTTGTTCTTTATTTTACTTTATTTATTAATAACTTAATTTCGTAATAATGAAATGAAATAAAACATGTGATGTCTTTTATAAATAATAATTTTTATATTATTATTATTAATAATATTTAATATTTTGAATTTCGGGAAATATTCAAAAATTCGTGCCAAATGATTTACGCATTTAATATTTTTCAAGTTAAAAATAGGAAAATAAAATAATAACTATCAAGTTTTGAATATTTAATTGTCAGACCAATGAAATGTTCAAGATTTGACATTTAATATTCTATTTTTAATAATATAATAAATTTTCCATGCATTTTTTATTCGAAATTTGAAACTTGAAATTTAAAAAATTTTATTCAGTTTGTTGAAACAAATTTGTTACAAAATTTTTTTAAATGAATTATAAAAAAGTCCAGTATAGCAAATTCAAGTTAATAAACAACTAAAATTCTTTTTTCTATTTTTAACAACCTATCACGAATAATAAATTTTATTCTTAAATAATAAGTACCTTTACGTATAACCATGCACTTTTCCTTGATATATGTACGTATAATATAACATACATATCCCGTAAAATTATTAAAATTTGGATCACGATCGATCTCGAATAAAAGTTACAGTTTCGACTATGATCAGCACGGAAAAAACGAGCAAATCTATTTAGACGAGATGGACAATCGGTCGTTCGAGCGTTATCATTGAAAATTTAGTCAGTTTTTAATATTATCCGATCAGTTATCGTAACTTATACAACCACGTACCACGTGTGCGTATATTTGTGTGTATATTTATGTGTATAATAACGAGAGATACTTAGATAATGTACTAGGGGGGGAAAAAAAAAAAAAAGAGAAAAATACAATTTTGTAAAAAGGTAGGTGTGTAGGCATATAGGTACCCATTTAGGTGCGGTAGTTTCTCTCCTTAGTCGTGCGAAGCTTTCTTAGTCGAGAAAGCTCCGAAATAGGAATAGTAGTAGTAGTAGTAGTAGAGTAGTAGTAGTAGTAGGTCTGTATGTGTCACGTTACACGTGACAAGAGTTCACGCGTCGCGATCAGGCTTAGAGGTAGCTGCAACCACCGCACTGCATCACCGCGACGCCCAGCGCCACGACGCAGTACGACGACTAACAAGCCTTCTTTCATTTCTGACATTTTTTACACTTCTCGCCGAGCGTGTTTTATTTTCTTTTTTTTTTAAATTATTTTTTAGTAATATTATTGGTTTTCAGTACTTTTAAATTTCATTCCGCATTTTTTTTGTTTTTTCCGTTGTTGTGACTCGTTTTTTTCTTTTACGCACATCAAATCGATCGTGTATTTATTTTCAATGCCAATTTTGCAATTTTTTTGGTTTTTGATTTTGTTTGGTTTTTTTTTTTTAATGATTTCGGACAAGATAAGGTCGCACGACGTCCGAAAAAAAGTTTATCTCTTTTTCTTTCTTTCTTTTTGATTTTTTTTTTTTTTTTT